CAGTAAAAGAATAATCATAATTACAGAGCCAGGCTTGGGGCGGGGGGTGTTACTAGGGTTGTTTATTTTAGAGTAGGATGTTTCCAGTTCAGGTTTCAAATCTGTGTGGTTTTTCGGGTTCCGGAGTTTGGGACCATTATTTTCATTGGGGGATATATATGAGGGTCTGGGGCAGCTTTCATAAATATAGTGCACAACTTTGCACACACAGTTCTCCTTCTGATATAAAGACTGCCTAAGTTTCAAGCAAATTGAACCAAGGCGTTTGATTTTATAGACCACCAAAGTAGGTGCATTCTGGCACAGGTACACTAAGTTCTTTCTGTTAATTCCTGGGGAGGGGGGGGATAGTGGTCAATCAGCAGCCTAACAGGAGAGCACCTGCTGGCCGCTTGTACTAAACCCCCCCTCCTAGTCTCATTTTCCTGTTCTCCTATCCTGACAGTGACTAACAATAAAAACTGTTTACCTTGCCTCTGAAAACTCTGCATGCCAGCCTTCCTTGCTGTGTGTCTCCTTTCATAAAATGAGGAAAAACAGGTGCTTACCTGTAACTGAGGATCTGTGCATCATCTGTGCATTCACACCTCTGGGATATAGTGCGCCTGTGCCGATGGAGCCCGGCATGTGACCGGGGAGCGGGCGTGAAAATCCCTTTTGCTTTCCATTATACCGATCGGGGTCGGCGCAGGCGCACTATATCCCAGAGCTGTGATGCACAGAGACCACGAAGAAGATAGCTTCCTTTGCAGAAAAACACCCCTCCCTGTCCCCAAAGCTGAAGGACAAACAGCATTTTGGGAACTTTGAGGGGGGTGGTTGTTTTTCAACTAAATGACACCAGAATTGCAGAGGTGCCAGTGCTGCATGTCCACTGAAGACCACCCAAGTTTCAAGCAGTTTTGTGAGGGCCCTAGCCATCCTACTTGCAGAGGTGCGGCCCCACTTCTACAAGGAGGGAGTAAAGAGAATGAGGCAGCCAGACCTGCAGCTCTGCTGGGCCTTGTGCCACACGGGAGTTGCCCTTCACCTGCTGGATCCAACTGGAAGGAAGAAATGCTGCTGCCTGGGAAATTCAGAGAATCAAAGAAAAACAGAGATGCCCACTGATGATGATAAACACCTAAATATGCCCACTGATGATGATAAACACCCATTATACCTAAGAGTCCCAGATTTGTTTCCAGGAAATCACTGTACTGACCTGAACTAATGATTTTCATGTATACCTTCTGCTTGGGAATTTTGTAATTCATGCCCCTAAAGAAAAACCTAGTACATTCATCAAATTCCTAAGAATGATGTATAAGGGACAAGTGTTTTGAACTGTACTGTGATCTTTTTAGAGGTTTTGCTTTAGTTTCAACTTTCTTCCCTCCCTTTATAACACTCCAAGGCAGGAATACTCAGGAAGAAGGCATTTCAAAATGGGCTACTCTCTTACTCACCTTGCCAGGCAGCATCAATAGTTTCCTGTCTATCCTCAGTCTCTCTATCCTATTCTTTATCCCTACCTCCTACTCAAATCCATTTTAATCCCACTGATAATTCCCTTCATATATGACTGATAGGCAAATGGTGCAGACAGATAACACAGGCTAGTATAAATGGAGCTCTCTTAATGTTGCCATTTTACTAATTGTGAATACAGCTTGTGACTACATATGAATTAAACAAATAAACTGGCCCAAGTCACTGCCACTGCCAAGTCTGCCTTTTTTCAGCTGAGACAGATTGGACAGTTGGCCCCATACCTTATCCCCCCCCCCCGGTGATCTGGCTACAGTGACCCATGCAGTGATCACTTCCAGATTGGATTATTGTAATTCATTCTATGTTGGGCTGCCCATGACTCTGCCCATATGAGGCCTGAAGAGCCTTACAATCTGCTAATCAACATCTACTGGTGGTCCCTGGCCCCATGGATGTTTGTCTTGCTTCGACTAGGGCCAGGGCTTTTTCGGCCCTGGCCCCTACCTGGTGGAATGAGCTCCCATATGAGATCAGGGCTCTGTGGGACCTTCTACAATTCCACAGGGCCTGCAAGACGGAGCTCTTCTGCCAGGCTTTTAGTTAAGGCAGCGGGCATCCTCCTTTTTATCTATCTATTGGGCCTCCCCAGTGGATCAGATCTGAGTAATATCTGGAACCCAATTGTGACAGTATACATCTCTTGAGGCTCTGATGGTATATATAGAAATTGCACTGTATTTTAACTGATGTATTTTAAACTGTTTTTAACTACTGTATACTACATTTGATGGAATCTGCCCTGAGCCTGCTGTGCGGGGAGGGCGGGATACAAATCCAACAAATAAATAAATAAATAAATAAATTTTGATGATGATTAATATCATTTAATTAGGTTGCTGTGAAAGGGGAAAGGATGTTCCTCCTTTGTTGTAGTAAACCAGTATAGTAAGTAAAAGAGCAGAGTCCTTCACATCATGCTTAACATCTTCAGATATGATGAATAAAATTACAAGTAATATGAAAATTCTCCCTTTAGTTATTTTAAGCACCCAGGTGGTAAATCATACATCTTCCCTTTATGATATTGTTTTTTAAGAATTTCACAAGCTCCTGAAACAGGTGGTCCTACACTGGTCAGATGAACTTGTGCAAGACTTCCTGTCCAACAGGTGCCCAGATCAACAATTCATTCCAGCACTTAACTCTTTCCATAAACATCAAGCTATCACCACCCCAAACAGAAGTCTCATCATTTATACTGTACTTCTGTGAATGAAGTTGGTTTTATCTTTCACAAGTTGTATGGAGATATCATTTCACTATTTGCAAAAATCCATTCACTTGTAGAACATATCATTGCAGCTGTCAAGGAGCAAACAGTAATGCCAGAAAATGGAATATGACTGGGGAAATGATATGACATGTGATTTTACACTGCAAGCAGACATTTAATGAGTAAAAAAAAAGGTATCTGGCAAAGATTCATATGCAAACATTACAACCTCTCCAAATCACTAGTGAATGGCTATTGGTAGCTCTGAATTAATTTTTCCAACAGCTTTTTCCACTGTATTAAGAGGGGTGGGAGCAATGTTCCCCCTAAGCTGTGGAGTCTTGTGAGCAAAAATTTTACTTGGTGAGCTGCTGGCATTAAAGTTCTGAGCAAGCAATTTGGCTACCGCATACATTAATTTGCTCTGGAGCCCTCCTTCCTGAGCTGAGACAGAAATGGGTGAGCTGGAGGCTAAAAAACTGTGAGCTAGCTCACACTAACTCAGCTTAGAGGGAACACTGGGTGGGAGTCCATAAATGCTTTTTAATACTGATACTATCTAATTTGTTTACATAAACAAATGTTACAAAATATAAAAAAAATCTTTGGTACAACAAATTCCTCGTTTGTCTTTAGATTATCACCAGCAACCGAAATCATGAAACATGAGCTTTCTCTGTTTATGAAATGCCATAGCATTATCAAGACTTTTTAAAATAAAAGAGAAATTTGGAAAGTTTACAGAATCAGAAACATGAAAGCATAAAACAAAATTACCAAGCCAGAACTTAACTGCCCAGTCTGAACACTATGATCATTCTGATGTATTCTTGGCTAGATGACATAGACCAATCCTCTTTAAATTTATTTTTTACTGTGAGCTGTTTGGGCAGTAGACAATGTGAAACAGCAAAGTGGGAAGGGAGACACTTCTTTCTCTGCCTGCAGTTTCTCTACTCCCCAATTGCCCAAATCCCTTTCCTACACAGTAGCTCCCATTCTGCCTAATGTGTATGGATCCCCTGGGGTAGGAGAGGTCTGGGTATACAAGAACACAGGGAGGAAGAAAATGGCAAACAATTACATAATCTTGAGATTCTAAGATCTGGGCAGTATCCTAAAATTGAAGTGTTTGCATATTTATGACGGTCATTCACAAAAAATATTATGCAAAACTCTAGCTATGATACCAATTTATTTCAATTTTTTGCTCAAAGTATGTATTCTGCAATAGGAAATCAAAATTATGTTTAGAGAAAGTATATGTTATCTAGTTATGAAAGCTACATAAAAGCTAAGTTAAATCACTCCTCCCATATGGATGTCTAGGAAAACCATTGCAGGTTATACCATATAGAAAACTGGAAAAATTACTGCCGACATGAGATTAATGTGCAGATTCCACTGCACACACCCAGAGACCTTAGTTCAAAGTTTAAATATTGTTCCTTTTTAAAAATGATGTTTCTTCAATGAGCAAATTTCACTTTAAAAATACATTAGAGGTTTCCCTCGCTTGAAAGCCAGTCGAATCCAACTCTAGGGGGTGGTGCTCATCTCAGTTTCCAAGCCGAAGAGCCAGCGTTGTCCGAAGACTTCTCTGTGGTCATGTGGCCGGCATAACTAAATACTGAGGCACATGAAATGCTGTTACCTTCCCACCGAAGCAGTACCTATTAATCTACTTGCAATTTCTTGCTTTCGAACTGCTAGGTTGGCAGGAGCTGGGGCCAGAGAGGGGAGCTCACTCTGTCACGCGGCGCTAGCATCTCAAACTGTATTATTCACCGACTCTTCAGATTATGGGGGTCTATATGGTTATCTAATGAAGTTTTCTATGGATTCAGGAAGCTGTTTTGTTTGGCTCTGAAATGAATAGCACTTGAAATCTTTGGTGAGTATCTCTTGTGTGTGTTAGACTGACTTCCTGTGTTTCTGTGTTGTTTCTTTGCCATTAATAATAAAGTGGTAATACGATAATCATTTGAACTTCAGTACTACATGAAGCTTTGAACTGATCAGGGAGAATTGCTTTTCTCCATTAGGTTTCAAACCAGCACTGTATTAAATCAAGCATAAGCCATTTTGTTGATAGTTTTTGGGAATGCTGGACCAATCTTGAACAACAAAATCCCATCTCAAAATACATTAGAGAGTTACAAATCTTGATTTCCACGAACTCTAGGGAGGAGTCAGTAAATGGCATCTAATTAGAACACAAGATTATTTTAAATTAAAACATTGTATTATTTACCTTGGTCTTTTCGCCAATAACATTCCTCTCCAGTTCTGCTATCTTCCTGTTTAAGTGATCCAGTATTTCCTTCTCCTTGATAAGTTCAGCTGTTTCAGATTTCTGTTCCCCATCCAATAAGGCACATTCCATATCCATCTAAGAACACAAAGCATTCACTGCTTCAGTCCTGCTCACAAAGAAATTCTGCAGCATAATTTTGGAAGGCTTATTCACACATGATGCATTAAAAAACTGCTGATGCAAGCTGTATGTGACACTTTTTGATACCTTTTAATACAGATATACAAAACGAAACAGAGAAATAATGAACACAAATTTGTCCAAAACTGACTATTTTCCCAAAGGCTTTCTGCTGGAAAGTTTCCAATTCTTGTGTGTTTCTTAGCTTTTTTTGTCCTGGTTAACATTATTAATTATGCTTGATAGAAGCCCAAAATCATGTATGCATAGTGCAAGGTTTGAAATGCAATTCTAAATTAATGTTCCCACATATCCTGGTAAAAGCACTTATAGAACTTTTTGCTTTTCACACATGCACAGCAAGCACAGGAAAAGGGCTAAGCGGGGGACTGGATTGAGGGACAAACATGAACTTGGAAGTTTGTAGCTTAGTGTTGCAAATACATCATCTGGTCCCCTCCAGGTGGGGTCTAGAGATCTCCTGGAATCAAGGGTGTAGACTTTCCAATTTCCCGGGGGGGGCTGGGGCTGGGCCAGAGGCATTGCTTTGCTAGGAGCAAGGGTGGCTCCCGGGGGAGGCTGAGCAGCTTCCTGAAAATTTCGGCGGGGGCTGAAGCCCCGCCGCCCCCACGAAGATTACGCCTATGCCTGGAATGACAACTGAGCAGTTCCCATGGAGGAAGTTAAGTCCATCTAGCATCACTGATTTGCAGCACAACAGCCCTGACAACTATAGACGGGTCATTTCGTAGAAAAAGAGGTGCAGGAGCTCATTAGCATAACTTATTTGCATATGCCACACCCCTGACATCACCGGAAGTGTGTCAGAAGGCAACACCCACCACTCAGGTGCCACTGGGCTGTTTTGGATTGCTAGCTATTGGGGGGGGGGAACGTGCAGATCTGTCTTCGCAGAGGAGGGAGAGCTTGTACCTAAATAAAACTTGGTCTTAAAGGTGCCACTGGACTGTTTTGGACCAGGGGGGCAGGGGGGCTCTGCAACTTACCTGGCTGCTTCTTGCTCTGACTGAGGGAAGCTGGGAGCAGGGGGTGGGGCTTGTTGCATGTGCCCGCCCCCTGGGCTCTTTACTGCCGGAGCTCTGCTCCTGTGCACTCCTGCAGGAAATGACCCCTGACTATAGATGAACAGACTATTTTTACATATGTGGGGTGAAAACTTTTCTACCCCACATCACTGCCCTCTGGATATAGGAGGTGCCACTATAATACTCTCAAACAGTATTTTAGATTTCTGAACAATGGGGTACAATTAGATGCAGCAGTAACAGCAGCAGCAGCAGAAAGTAAAGAAGAAGAAGGCGGAGGAGGAGGAGAAGAAATTTTTATACTCTGCTTTTCTCTACTATAAGGAATCTCAAAGCAGGTTACAATCAAATTTCCTTCCTCTCCCCACAACAGGCACCTTCTGAGGTAGGTGAGGTTGAGACAGTTCTGAGAGAACTTGGACTAGCCCGAGGTCACCCAACTGACTGCATGTGGAGTAGGGAATCAAACCCAGTTCTACAGATTAGGGTCTGCCACTCTTAATCACTACAGTAAACAAAAAGGAGATCACACAGCAGTGCTGTGAAGCAGGGCACAATAGAACTAGTAACATATTGGACAGATACAATGTGTACAGTACATGAATATAATCATTGCACAATAAAGCACAAGAATACTAAATGTGAATCTTCTGATACACAATGAAATATTCAAAAAAAATTTCTTTTCAAAATAATTATTTCCAATAAAGAATTTGGATACTGAAGACTTTATTTTGATAATCTTCCTCAAGAAAATTACTATTATAAGTATTTCAAAGGCATAAGGCTCCAGAAAACTGTATAGCTTCAGACTACTAATGTAGAAGGAACTGCCCTTCCAGGGTATTCAAAGAGGTTTGCAGTAACAATTATATTTCTATTGATCGGCCACCAGTAACACTAATTAGAAACCACTCTGTATTAATGCTAAGCTGGTCGAGCCTCTAAATTATGAGCCAAGTCTCAGTTAGTATATAGAGGAAACAAAGGAGTAACTAAAATGTTTATTTATTTATTTACTTCATTTATACCCTTCCTTTCTCCCCAATGGAGGCCCAAAGCAGTTTACATCTTGCCTCAGTTTTATCATCACAACAACCCTGTGAAGTAGCCTAGGCTGAGAGAGTGTGACTGGCCCAAGGCCATGCAGCAAGCTTCCATGCCGGAGTGGAGATTCAAACCTGGGTCTCCCATATCACAGTTTGACACTCAGTCCACAACACTGTCTCTCAGTAGGGTAACTTGGTATGTATGAATACTCCAAAAGCATTGTTTATACATGCATACTGAATTATCCCATTTAGTTTTTCCATCATTATCAGATCTGAATAAAGAATAAGTATGTGATTGTTCCATTTTACAAGATTCATCTATTCGTCCGAGGCAGGCAAGCCAGGAGAGGGCGGGGGGGGGGGCTCCAGAAGCAGGCCAGCCGGGGAAGCGAAAAAGAGGGGGGGGGCAT